AATATACCAATATACAGCTTATCCTACATAATATTCCCAAAACCAGTAAATCTTAGCTAGAATAACGATTGGATTCCCGTATAACCGATAAGTGAAAAACATTCTTGCGGTTTCATGCTAGTGCTGATGGCTTTCTATTATAAATTCATGAGGTTTAAGTAAGCACGAAGCTACTGAGATTCATGTGATACAATCACTAAAGTTCGGTTAGTTATGATTCCTAAAAAAACTATTCTTTTAAAGGTACTACTGCGTAAATCATGGCCATTTTTAACGTTATTATTTTTATAGTGACATCACCAAAGGAACGCTCGAAATTTCGGATAATGTCAATGCATTATAAATAATTGTTTCGAGACCGTATGTGCTTCGTATTGACGACTCGTATTTTTTTAAATTGTATTTCGTAAAATTCCTGGGACCTAAGATTTAAAATAATCAAAATCAGAATTTTAAAACTCAAAAATATTAAGACATAGAACTTTGTATTTGAGAACGTATGTGTATTACAACTTTCAATAACGACAGCATATTAGAAATGCATAATTCACCACATACATAAAACACAAAAACATATACATATTATTAAAAAATAGTTACATAAAATACTTAGATGGCCTTGAACGAGTGATCGGCGTCAATGTCAGCCGCTTAAGAACAAATTACAACATGCGGAAACCCGCCTTAACTATATCCGTCAAAGCGTCACGCACTCCACCATTAAAACACAGTATCGTAAATTCTATCGTTGTAAATTATAAGTCTTACTTACAATTCTATGTTTTAACTGTTTCTTTTTGCAATAAAATTTTATGCTTATTGTCGCCTGGCATTGACATTGGTCTCAATGTTAACGTACGGTCTATATTTATGTAGAAATTCTAATAAAAATGTATTAATATTCTATTTAGGTTACATGAACCGAAGTACATGTTCATCATCATCAACAGCCTTTAATAGTCCTTTGCTAGACATAGGCCTCTTCACGGCACGCTGGCTTGACGGGTTGGTACAGTTTGCTTTGGTCTGCCCACTATCACTGAGTAACACTTGCCCTAATTAGTAACAAATATATTTTAATACGTATATCTGCATACTAATTATAAATTGGAAAAATATTTATTTGGGACAGTGTTTTGAAGCGTATTGTGGCTGGGTCGATATGCAGGACCCGAAGGTTTTTTAAACCCAGCGTGATTGTCCTAAGTGTTTGTGGCAGTGTGTTCAAATATATGTAAAAAGTGATTATTTGAAACAAGTTCCCTGCGGGGATGTTTGAATAAAATGTGGTGTCTCTTAAATACACTATAATTTTCAATACAGTAATTAATTAATTTTAAGCCAGTAGTAGTAATAAAGTTTTGTTTTCCAATGCACATAAAATATTTAAATTTACTACTACCGGTATCCCAAATTTTGGGCGGGATACTACTTTTTGTGAAATCTGTTTGCATCTTCAGTAATATATTAGTTAGTAGAGATTAGTCAATGAACTTAACAATACAAATTTGTTTTTAAGTTATCAACTAAATTTAGTCATCTCATTCGCTATTTACTTCATCGATTTATTAGATCAAAAAAATATCATTATAAATAATCTTTGTTTTTACAAGCCAACTTGCCTTGTACTACGACTTATTGGTTTTCCATACACAACAATGTAAAAAAATGTACTGATTTTTCACATCCTATTTCCTATCAATTTTATTCAACAATAACGTGCAAAAGCTTAAAATATGTATCTTATTCTAAGACTTATCGACTTGACGATGTTACTATTAATGTCGACGCATAATGTAAAATTCAACTAATCGTAATATATTTTATCAAAGCTTTCACTAATACCAAGATCTATTCAACCCTTCCGAAGTCATGTCGCTAACTGTATTCGTGCACGCTATTTACATTGACGTACTCGCTTCCAACTTACACTAAATAATGATGTATAAAAAACTGGGAAAGGATATCATTAGCCATACGCAGCTCTCCGATTCAATGTTGTGGTTAATAATGATATCGGTAATCCTTGTGTTCTTTATTTTTTAATAGAGACGTGGGGAATCGATTTAGTGGATTATTGTGTAATTATGTTTTTTTTTTTTATGTACGGGGTATCTCCATTATGTATCCAGTATAAATACAAGTTGGAAGTTTGCCCAAAGACAGACACTGAACTTATCTCTTTTTCGATAAGATCAACAGTTGCAACAATCGAGGGTGCTTCGCTTCCATTTCACTTAAATCGATTTCGGATTGGTATGCATTACATACCGTGAAGGTAATTGTTAGTAGACAGTTCTCTTATTTCTATTACACAAATTCAATTTACAATTACAACTTTAGATCCTAGGTTGGGCAATACATTATTTCATTCATAATAGAAAAGCATTAAATTGATACATTAATGAAAGTGTTAAGATAATAAACAATTGTTATAATCTATTTAAAATAGAAATGTCATGAAAGAAAACAAAGATTAGGTGGGCATTATAGTTTACGTAAGAAAGTAATGTTTCCATAAATGAAAAATAAAAATTGGCTACAAACCTTAATTTTTTTTAAACCTTTACTTTTTATTACATTCATTCTGTCGACATTGCTTAAAAAGAAAATTATAAATAAATTAAAGACTGTTTTATGAAGTTAGCAAATAAAAGTCATACACTGAAATAATTATAACGTCATTGAATTTAAAATTGAAATAAGGGTGTACTAGGAGAAACTTTTATATCTCCGTTAGAAAGCATTTTCCATTACTTTGTAAATGTTGCTTGATTTGTTTTCACCAATGACTATAACCTTTCTAGACGAGTACTTCAGAAACTATAAAGAACACTTAAATACTTTCCCACTTTTATGTAAGTTATGTAAGGAAATTAATGCGGTAATGCGTGGTCAATTTTGGATGTAGAGGTGTAAATAGAAACTATATCATCATCAGCAATAATACTTTAGCTAATATTAGGTTAAAATCATCATAAACCCTACGACCAGAATCTGCAAACCCGGGTCAAAATATTATGTTGAAGTTATTTTACGGTTTTGAAATTTTTTTTCTATACTTAACTTTTTAGACTAATACGGTGGTTTTACTAATTCAGTAATAATAATCTTTCCAATATAATTTGCTTTTCCTAAAGTGCTCGCTCGTACCAACATCGTTAGTTCCTTAGCAACCATTTCATAGGTACTATGGCCCCTTTCTCTTCTGATACTTTCTACCTATAATGCGTTCTGATTAATTAGATTCGATTAACAGCGACCGATACCTATTAATAATTCAATTTGTTCGCAAAATTGAGATTTGTTTGGTTTCGTTTTGTTCTCATACGAATTCGATAGCTACAGGTAATGAATTACATACCAATGTTTTGGTTTAAATTTCGTTGCTATTTATGTGTAGCTTTTCATCATTTCATTTCATCGTCATTTGTCATGCTTGTTTAGAAAAATAAAGTTCAGACAGATATTTTAGTTCTATTATGTATCTATCTACTTATAGACTCCTGTTCGTAATTTTTGTTACTTCCTACTGAAACTTGTTTTCTTTGTTAAATTTTTATAATTATATTTGAAATCAGTATAGCTAATAATTACGCATTTTCAGAAATTCCTACACAATCTCTATGTTCAAATAAAAAATTGGCAGTCTTCTGTTTCTTTCAACGCAATCAATGTATTGGTGGGAAAAAGTCCCATCCTACAAACAAATAAACAACTCATAAGTAAAAAGATCTAAATAGTCTGTTGTCTATCAAAATGAGAGTATCAAAATAGGTAATCAACTTTAAAATGTAAACTTTGTATTTTTTAACTTGTTAATTAGGATTTAAATTCAATGGTAGCTTGTATAAGCCAAATTTGAAACATTTCTCAACATTATGTCTTTCACTAGAACGTAACAATGGTTCCTACGTAATAATTAGATTATGGTTTACAAAAGTATTTAATTGTTATTGCTCTAGAGATCTTTATTTAGCTGATAATTGTGGAAATGTCTTGTTGAGTGTGATTTTTGTGGGTATTTTAGTTTCACTCTTGACTTTTATGTGCTGTATTTTTATACTTGCTGTTATTGTTTGTTTTACTCGTATTTTATATCGGTCTCTGCCTGAAAGTATATCAGTATATTACTGTGCACAAACTTAAAAACCACTAATTAATAGTAGATTATTCTTTATAAAGTAGCATAGTTAAAGTAAAAATTATACGATGAGTCGAGATGAAGTTTAATTGAAAAATACCACCAATAAATTATTTACTTTTGATTACTTTTCTCAGTTATGATCTCATTTCACAATTTCCTTGTAAAGGACGAAGTAGTGACTCACTGATGATAACTATCCCATTACGTAAAGGCTCCTCTAGCAAATTAAAAACGCTTATGGGTATTTCAATATCGAACGATGTCGCCATAAATAACGGCGATAGTCACGTAAATCATGGATAAACGACCAAAATGCAAATATCTCAACGGGCACCGCGTTGTATCTACAAAACCCGTTAGATTCACCCGGTGGCGTCTTACCAACCAACGGTTCCAATAACACCTACCTACAACACTAACCGACCTTATGGAAGAACATATGTCAAGTACGGTCATAACAAAGCTTAAAACTTAGTTGTGCTTTGAAAATGGCAGGGCTTTGTAAGGAAAATCTAGTTTTTAAAAATATAAAATTATCTTATCTACAAGGTGCATGTACATTACTTTAGCTGCTATTCTATATTTGCTGCTTTTCCAGTATTTTGGATACTTTCTTTTTTTTAATTAATTAGTAACTAACTTTTCCGCAAGTTAAGTTACTTAATGTCCCCTTTTGGTCTGTACTCCTGAGTTAGAAACAAACACGCATTCATTAAATATTAGTTCGGATTTCTGTAAAATTGCTATTAAATCGAAGAATTGCTAGTAATTTGTTTTGTTGTGTTAGTCAACTGATTAAAAGTAAATTCTAAAGATCATCAAACAATCCTTTGTATTATAAATAGCTCTTTCATTAACCGTGCAGCAGTGAAAGTTCAGAATACAGTGTCACTGTTTTCGCCAAATTTGTTTTTGCCTGAAAATTTGCGGCGTCCATCACAGTTACATCAACCACAAACTTGCTAATGATAGGAAAGTAGCACCACTATATGAATTTTGAACACTTTTTACGTATTGTCTGTGATTATCGTATCTCCTAATGCGAACGCTTTCTCTGATATTTTTGTTTTTTGTAATATTGCTTTATAATATTTTAGTGGGGCAGTAATAAATTTTATACACATTTATTTTTAAATCGTGTAATATAGTGATCTCGATATCTCTATTAATTTATAATAAAAAGCTTAATGGCATATATTAATAAATTGTAAATAACAAATCAATAAAAAAACGATTATTAAAATTATCACCAATTTGAGAAAAGTATTAATTCTCAAACCTACTTCTGAAGATTTGTTGTATGATGTTAGCGAATTGCGTATCGAAAAAAAAAACTCAGTTATTGCGTTTTTGTTTTAGAGTTAACTTAATTTTGTTTATTTAAAATGTCGAAAAAAAAAAACTCAGTTATTGCGTTTTTGTTTTAGAGTTAACTTAATTTTGTTTATTTAAAATGTCGAAAAAAAAAACCCGGTTTTGCGTTTTTGTTTTAGAGTTAACTTAATTTTGTTTATTTAAAATGTCTATACCTATACAGTGAATTTCCAAATTTATGCACATCATTTCTACGGTTTGTGTGTGTTATCTTCGGATTGTCGTATGTCGTCGATTGTCGTATCGTATGTATTAGAATAAATTACTTGTCAATTACAGCAAACACTTAGCTCCACTTTCAAACCCTTTTTACCTTTTAATTTAGTTGATGATTTGTGACAATATTTTAACGTAAATTATCAGCTATACCAGTGCAATAGATACTGTCAACTACTAACAGAGTGCAATAATTTAGTTTTCATATGCGCACAGGGCGGAACGCAAACTGCTTTTATATTTTTTTTTCACAATTGCAATGCACTTTATTGAGTTCCTAAGAAATAAATAGTTTCTTGCAATTTGCACAGCTAATGTGAGAACATGCTTTTACTGGTGAATGCGCAGGAACCTTTCTCTAAGGGCTCATTAGTTCGTATTTATGCTCTCTCGCTCGTGCTCTAACCTATAACTTCATGTATACTGGAAATGTGTACTGTGTCAATGTATTTTCCACCTACAAACCTGTCTGAATTAACGAAAATTTGTTATAATTGGAATTATGTTGGAAAAAATTACGATACTAGGAAAGTTGCAACTATTAGACTGTGAACAATTAAGATAAAAATAAAATAAAAATAAATCACTGACCTCTTTCTTGGTCTGATCATTGATCTTGACGTGGGTTTGTTGGGGCTTATCGCGGAGCGGCAAGTATCCTTCACGACTATCGGCTGGCTCCACAGTGATATCCGTCTGAGTCGTAGACTCCACAGCAGCGGTACTTGCTGTACCTGGGTCCGTAAAACGTACATCATCAGCTGTACTCAACGTAGGAGCTGTCTCCTTAGGCCCATCGGCAGTTGTTCCCAAAGTATCGATATCAGAAACTGTCTCAGTACTGTCGCTATTTAGAGTAGTTTCCGTATCTTGAACCGTAGGCGTCTCCGTAGTGCGCACTATAGGACGGATCGTATAATGCTTTGTCGGACCTCGGTTTGTAGTCGCGGACGAATCTTTCATAGTCTGCGTAGGGAAATCGGCTTTCGTTTGAGTCGTTTTTACCTCAATTGTCGTAGTTGGTTTGCGAGTTGACTTTTTCGTTTTAGGTGGACTCGTAGCGGTTGGGTTAGTCGCGGGCGCGGTTGACTTTGTTTTGGTAGATATTTTTTTCGCATACGTCGTCGAACGTTCCTCTACAGTAGTTGGTGCTGGGGTATTTTCTATGGTGGTAGTTGGGGGAGGTTTTCTGTCAGCGGGAGGCTCTAGATTGGATTGTTTGGGAGTTCGGGATGGTGGGAAAAAGTAATCCATGATTGATGGAGATCGGTTACGGTTAGAAGGTAGCCATGCCCAAGGGTTAAAGTCGATAAGTCGGGGTCGCGGCGGGTCATCGGCAGCGGCGATGGTAAAGAGGGCGGCGAGCGCGCAGAGTGCGATCAACGGACGATTCATGGCGCGACGTGCGCGTGCGGCCGCGACGAAGTTGCAAGCGGGACTGCGCGAACGCTGCCGCTGAAGAGAAGCCGCCACCGATCGCCCAGTTCATTCCGCCCTACGTACACCGCTGCAGATGCAGCGGCTTATAGTTCCTGTTTAATTTTCTTTTTTTACAATCTATGCGGTTCTTCTTTTATGCGTAGTTAATTATGTAATTACGGACATAAATAGGCGTTAATTTATAAACAGTTATTTATTTCGCAACGTCTTATTAACTTTTAAAGTACGCGCACAACGAATTTTCAGTTTCTCTAGTTTACCAAAGATTATTACAATTTTCTACTGATTTGTGTCTTAAACAAATTATTTGTTATCCTCGTACCTTTTTGATTGATATTCTATAATCTTTTTCATTCTAAATCCTTAAAATCTATTTAAAATTTAGTATCGATCTCCTGGTGTTCGAATTACGACCCTAATTGTGTGATAAGAGACCAGTATAACTTGAAAGGTCCTTCCTATATTACATTACGTGGCGCGGCAGATCAACCTATTTAAAATCGATGTTGTGGCCTTATGTAGTCGTTTTCACTTAATTTTATAATCTGTAACATATGTTTCTCAAAATTTTTAGCAGTTTCCTGTAGTTATTCTGTATGTAAACGTATTCCTATACCAAATTCTTCTAAAAAGTGTTCCAAATCTCACGCTCCTTTGAATTTTTTTTAAGAATTCTTAATTCTCTCTAAGTATCACATTGCTTTATTTAAAATTATTTTTATACCTCACTAATGAACTGATTGCTTTTAGTGATATTTTCTAGATGTAGATTATCGGTGTAATTCCGGTTTAGTACCTATCTCATTTCTTTTCCCACCGTATATAATATGTAGGAAATATATATGGCCAGTTGGTCCAGTAGTTAGAAATACTTATTGAAAAGTTTGTGGTGACTACAATTGTTGTAGTCACCACAAGCTTTTCAGCTGTATGACTGCACGGATGGCGTAGTGGTTTAAGCGGTTGCTGCTTCCTTACTGCGCCGAGTGTTGTGGGTTCAAACCCCACATGGGACGACACTTTGTGTAATCCACAAATTGTTGATCTAAGTCTGGGTGTCCTTTGTGTCCGTTTCATGTATGTTTGTAAAGTCCCCTGCGACACAGGATATATTCCTAATGCGGGAGTTGTCTATAAAACAAAATATCACATCACATCAACAGCCTATAATAGTCCACTGCTGGACATAGGCCTCTCCCCTGAAAGGAGGTTTTGGTTTGATAACATATTTCATAATATATTAGTTTGGTATTTAAAAATATATGAGTATGTCTATCAGTATAATAGTTTGATTACCATAGTACCATCTGCCTAGTTTGCCTGCCTAAGCATGAGAAACGATTTTAAAGATTTTTAAAAGACTTTTATGAAATAATGTTATTTTAACTATGGGATCAGACCTGTGTTCGTATCACAGGTGTCAAAAAGGTATATTACCAGAATTTACTACAACAGAAATAACAGCAAGGCTACTTGTAAGTGCTATAATTATGTAAATTGCACACTATGTGCATTGCTTAACTATGACCTACTTCAGAAAGAACATTCGGTATACGTAAGTTGACGGTCAAGTCATTACGTGGGGCAGACTGAAAGTTTCTGGATCTGGCCACTTACACAAAAAAGAGTGAAAAAAAAAAATAGAATTCGAAAATGGAACTCTTTGGGTACAGGTTATTATTTAACTTGCGAGCCTGTCATTTGCTTTTTCATTGTGACGTCCTTTCGATAATTGTGTGTCGCTATCAAAATGAATTTAACTCAATGATTTTCGTTGTGGCTTAAGTCGACAAGAGAGTTACCAGAGACTTAAAATTGGCATTTAATGATAAAGCACCATGTCGCAGCTCTGTGTAATCGTGGTTGTGAGAATCTAGACGTGGACGTGATCATCTCCATGACGACGTACGTGAAGGTCGGCCGGCAACTGCGGTTACTAACTCTAATATTGATACCGTACGACAACTTATTGAAACTGACAAAAAAAAATACTAGCCAGTAAATTCGTGCTTTGTTAGGCATTGGCATGAGCCAAGTGCAAAATATTTTACTTGTGCATCTGAAGGTTCGAAAGCTTTGCACTCGATGGATACCGTATGACTTAACGGAGGACCGGAAACGACTGAGTGTCCAGTGGTGCCGTAAAATGATAAAAAAGTTGAACGGAGGACAGTCATGGGCTGTCTATAATATCGTGACATTTGACGAAACCTGGGTGTACTGCTTTCAACCCGAAAGAAAAAGCAAGTCGGCCGATTGGGTCTTTCCTTTTAAAGATTTGCTGACGAAAGTTAAGAAAAGTCGAAACATTGGTAAAAATGGCTGCTTCTTTTTTCGGAAAATCAGGACATTACACTACACTGTTGCTTGAAGATCAAAGAACAGTGACTGTAGATTGGTACGTCAACAGTCAACAGTCAACTAAGAAAAAGTTCGCGAAAAGCGTCCTCGAAGCTATGTCCTCCTTTACCACGATAACGCATTCTTACATTCCGATAAGGTAACAGAAGCCTATTTGAAGGTTTCAAAAGTGAAACTGATGACGCATCCGTCTTACACCCTGCGACTTCTTTTTGTTCCTAAAAATTTAAGACAAACTTAGGCACACGTTTTATGAGGCCTGAATCGGCGGTGAATGCGTTTCATGAAGCAATTGAACACGTCCCTAAGGAAGACTAGTCCAACTGCTGTGTACGGTGGTTTCAGCGAATGCAAAAATGCGTTAATTACGAGGGAATATACTTTAAAAAACAATAAATGTGTCGTAAATCTTATATCTAGTTTTATTTATCAAAATCCAGAAACTTTCAGTATGCCCTAAGTATTACAAATGTTCACTTATAATATTTGACCTGTGGTTTGTTCTTTACTTTGTAAAATACAGTTATTCAATCATACCGCTGAAATTTGCTTAGTAAAATAATGCAACGTTATTTTAAATTTGTAACAATATTGAAATTGAGATGCTCTACCACAAACCGTATCAATGGCGGCTGCACGGGTAAAGTTGCTCTACGCTCCATTTAGTTCAATCATTGTCTCCCACTTCACCTGCAGCTAACACCAGCCAACAAGAAATAAGTAACGCGAGGTTATTTAGTGGGACGATGCAATGAGTTAAATCAAAATATACAAATGAGTATTGCAATAAACAAAATAATTCAATTTACCGAGATTTGTGTAAACCTGTGATTACACATCACCTTAATATTGCTACACAATTAATTTGCAAAACTAGAATAAATTTAATTTAATAATGTATTTTTACATATATTTTTGTTGAAACCAGAAGAAATTGTGAGCATCGTAAGTAATCGTTTAGAAAACTCCTGAAATAAATGTACAAAAATAATTCAGCGTCGCTAAATCAAAGCGTGATACAGATTATAGCATATTTTGTTAAAATATTTCTTAAAGATTAATAATTTCTTTTGTACCTACATTTATGTCCAAATAATATTTTATAACTTTTACATAGCATCAAATATTTTGAATGTAAATGGAACTTACATCCAAGGGTTAGGGTTTACGTAGACAATTCGAAGCCGTTGTCGTTAAGGCCGTTTCAAATACATTAATATAATCCCAACAATCCTGAATACATACTTTGTTCAGTTACTTTACCGAAGTTCGTGAAACAGTACATGTAAACCGTGGCAGTAAATCGCAAGTGTGCTATAAAGATCTTCCGAACGATGTTTATCGACAGATTGCGGCCAGACAGTTCTCTCTCGACCGTTATTGCTAATTTAGTATTTAAATAAGCTTTTCACACACTTACATGTACTTATATTGGTGTTAAAATCGCACGGTCTAGTGTATTTGAAAACTTTAAACAAGCCAATCAATAAACTCTGAATTCACGAGGTTGAGTGTTTAGAAGTTTAGAGTTTCATTGTAAAACATCACGAAAATTTCCAGTAAAACGATAGCGATTAGCGATTTTTCATCATACGCTTAGAGTAGCTAGCGAAACCACTTGAAAAAAATTAACGATTTGAAATGGTAAGTATGTTTTTCTTAACCAATGCCATAAGTAAATTTTAACACGACTGCGTGTGTCGTGTGAAAAATAACTCTGTTAATTCATATTAAAACGGTATGAAACTACGAAGTTACTTAAGAGTAGGTATACGTTCAATCATTACACACCCCTGTAATAATCTATTATAACATTATGCGTTGTATGTTCTAAAAGTACTATTATCATTTCTTTATTGGTCCTTTGTTGTTAGAAATTTTTAACACACATTCTTCATTAAGGTTTTACCTTATATTTCAAATTATACTAAGTATATAATATGTATAATATCCGCGTTCAACTTTAACAGGAACTTTAGAAATTTAGTAAGCAAGTATGTAGATACTGAATGAAATACAAGAATAAAGAAACCTAGGCAAAAGTATTCGTGTCCCATCGCCTGCCACTACAATGACCATTGTTCTCAGTTGAATTATATTACCTATATACGCTTTATATTGTATAGAATAACAAATACGTAAACTTCCTAACATGCCTGCACAATCTGGTTCTACATTGTTGGGTCAACTCAAATTGCCTTAGAATAACAAATTGAAAATAGTTTGACTTTCCTTTAAACAAGCACTCAACCGACTCACAGTGAAACTAGATCAGATTACCAAAATATATCAAAAAATATAGTGGCTATAATAATTTGTCAAGAAATTCAGTTTCGTTCCTTTTAGGAATTTCGTGGACAGAGTAATACAAAATTCGAAATACTTAAAGTTTGTATGTATAAGAAGTACAGGCAATAGAAATGGTATAAGTAATTTAAATTGTTTGGAAATTGCCAATTTCCAAATGGTAGATTTGAATATAAGGTTTTTATACTACTATTTAAATCGTATAAAACTGTATAAAATACATAAATAATAGCAATTGTTACTAATTTAACATTCTTCTACTAATTCAAACTTCATCGCAGTAATAT